TCAGGATAAAGAAAACCATGCTAATAGTATTCATGGAGAAAAATCAACTCACTTAAAAAACGAGAGCAGAATGAATCTGATCATGGTACTTACAAGACAATATAATCTTCAAAGTTTAAGGGAAAATGAATTTGAATCTAGAAAGATATTAGTACTTAAGAAATAGGGCAAAAGAAAAAAAACACTCTTTCATATAAGACATTAGAACATGTAAGATCCACAGAATGTGAAATAATAGCGTGAAGATGCATTTTATGAAAATAAAAATGTCCAAAAAATAAATAAATAAAAAGATGTCGGATATAAAAATATGAAGCATAAAACAGGTTGACATTTATACTTGGGCCTAAATAAAGGCACTGTTCTTCTAAAGTACATGGTTTTTTTTTTTTTCCGCTTCATTCATTTATTTATTTTGTAAAACTGTGAGATCCTTGTGATTGGAAACCCAGTTTCCCTTGTCCACTGTGCCTCCAGCACATAAGAGCACACTAGCTGAGTATGATAAGCACGTGGACTATGTGTGTTGGGTTTGGTTGTTTTCATTGGTTTGCAATTGCCTTGTTGCCTTTCTCACGACCATTGACCTCTCAGCTGCACCTGTTTCCCGATCCAGCAGGTGTCACAATGGGGCGCCGTACTCCTAACCAGCACCCTAACTTCCCTCCACATTCCGTCTTTCTGCTTCATTGATTTTGCTCATTTCAAATCACAAGCTACAAAGCACTACTGGGGAAAAATGCGCCATCATAACTCCTTGAGACACAGCCTCCAACGGGCCTTCTCTATGTCCTGCTAATGATTTCTTGCTCGCTGACATTCTCCACGCTTTTAAAAATAGCTTTATTGAGGTACAGGTTCAGCATAATAAAATATAGTCATTTTAGGTAGGTAGACAGTATGCAGGTTCTAAAAACTGTATACAAAAAAAAATGAAATAAATAAATAAATAAAATAAAAAAATAAAAATAAAAACTGTATACATCTAAAATCACCACCACAACTGTAACACACATGGATATAAAACCTATATATAATCACAGAAATTCCTCTCGCGCCCCTTTCCAGTGACTACATTCTCAACCTCAATACCAGGCAACTAACTGACCTACTACGCGCTTTCCTGAATAGCGATCGTGGAGGGAAAAGTACAGATAATCCCCATGTGGGAAATGGTGTGGGAAAAGAAGAGGAAGTAAACTCATGCTAAGATTATTATTTTATTTGGAGAATGTGAAACACATTCATGATGATTAATTGCAAAAGATCAACATAAAAGTTTACTGCAGGAAAAAAAATAACCTAAATGTGACATTATCATTATAATTTCCAAACCAAAAAAAAAAAAAAAAGGAAAATAAGGCAAAGAAAACTTGAGTAATCTAACAGAAGACAGTGGAGGAAGAAAAGGAAAAAATTAAGTAAAAAATACAAAGTAAAGTGGCAGTAGTAAGTCTAGACATAGGGCATATCCCTCTACAAATCCAAAAATGTGATAAAAACTGTGTCTGTTTTCCAAAAGAACAGATGCTTAGATTGAATTTAAAATTAGAGAGGCAGAAAGACAAATTTTAAAATACGCTATTTATAACAAATGGAACAAAAATAAAACGGCACAGAAAGTGTCAAAGTGAAAGAACAGAAAACGATATGCTAAGCAAATTTGAGTACAGTGATAATAATTCCAGGAAAGTTCAATTTCAAGTGACACGTACCGAGCGATACAAAGGATAATAACACGTGGGTTAAAGTTACAATCTACAGAAAGATAAAAGAAGCATAAAACTTCAAGCACCTTATATCAATTTATATGGCCATAAATTGATTAAAGGAAAAACTAACAGTAAAACAAGGAGTTATTAAAGATTTTAGGACATTTTTGAGAAATTTAAATACAAAAATGAGTAAGACTGTGGACTGTGGTATGAAGCTGATTCTTAAGAAAAAAAAAAAAAAACCTTAGAAAGAGAAAGAAAAAGCGGTGCTACGCAGCATTTGCCAACTTGTGTTGTGTAAATACCCAATCATACCGATTTCAAGCCACCAGTGGTCTAACAACTGGTTCACTAAATGCCCGACCAGTTAGAGGCCTCCTTCCCACCACGGCCTGCGGGGAGATTTGAAAACGCAACGGATCATGCTTTATGTAGTATACGTGCGCGCCACAGTGATAGGGAGGGATGGAGGAGAACGTTCTACGCCGCCGGACAGCACATAGGGTAATCGTGAAAGTTGCCGGGGACTTGGATCGACGATGTCTAGGTGCCAGACCTAAAATAGAATCTCAAAAGTGAAAAAAATCTGAAATCATACCTGCCACATTATGTGATCCCATAATAATGTTGGTTTATGGGAATGATTCATATAGTGAATCATTCTAATGACACTAACAATTCTGAATTAAAATCCTAATAAAAGAAGAGCCCACTTCTAACCTCTGTCCACCTAAAGATGTAAGATGATACTTTGAGTATAAAAGAGAAAGTCAATATGAAAATCATGCTTCATCAAGAAAGATTGGGGCCACCAAAATCTGACATCAATACTGCGTAATAATACCCCCCAAACAAGAGACATACGGCGACGTCTCGCGAACACCGAACATCTGGGCTACGTGGGTGCACACCCTGCCCTCTCCCCACCTCCAGACATGTGCACACCTTGGTCACTGATTTCTGCGTCGGTAGCTGGAGAGGAGCACCGAGGGCTCGGAGCGGCGTCACCTTGGCTCCCCGGGCCGGCAGGTGCAGCGGGGTCGCCCCCACAGGCCAGCGGTGCGCACCCACACACCAGAGGGTGCATCAGGGCTCGGCCCTTCCCCTCAGTCGCTCGGTGGCCATCGGCCACTTTCCAAGTTGCCAGCAGCGCCGGCAACGGTTCTTGAGGACGTGGCGCCGAGACACCCGGACACATGGCCACATGGACACCCAGACACCCGGATGCACAGACACCTGGACACCTGGACGCATGGACACCCGGACACCCGGACACCTGCACACCCGGATGCATGGACGCATGGACACCAGACACCTGGATGTACAGACACCTGGACACCTGGACGCATGGACACCCGGACACCTGCACACCCGGATGCATGGATGCATGGACACCAGACACCTGGATGCACAGACACCTGGATGCACGGACACCCGGATACATGGACACCTGGACACCCGGACACCCAGACACCTGCACACCCGGACGCACAGACACCCGGGCACCTGGATGCCCAGACACACAGACAGCCAGATGCACAGAAACCCGGACACCTGCACACCCGGACACCCGGACACCAGGACACCCGGACACCGGGACACCCGGATGCATGGACACCCGGACACCCAGATGCACAGACACCCGGACACCCAGACATCCAGATGCACGGACACCTGGATACCTGGACACATGGACACCCGGACACCTGGACGCCTGGACGCACAGAGAGCCAAACGCACAGACACTTGGACACCCGGACACCTGGACAAGTAGATGCACGGACACCCAGACACGTGGATGCATAGACACCTGGATGCACAGTCACTTGGACACCCAGACACCTGGACACACAGACGCTCAGACACCCAGACATCTGGAAACCCAGATGCATGGACACCCGGACACCTGGACACATGAACACCTGGACGCCCAGACACCTGGATGCACGGACACCCAGATACCCAGACACCTAGACGCATGGACACCTGGACACATGGACACATGGACACCCCGATGCACAGACACCTGAACACACAGACACCTGGACACATGGACACCCAGACACCTGGATGCATGGACACTGGACACCTGGACATCTGGACAACTGGACACCCAGATGCATGGACACCTGGACATCCGGACAGCTGGACACCCGGATGAACAGACACCTGGACACTCAGATGCACAGACACCTGGACACCCAGACACACGGATGCATGAACACCTGGATGCATGGACACCTGAACACCTGGACACCCAGACGCATGGACACCTGGACACCCGGACACACGGATACACGGACACCCAGATGCACGGACACCCGGTCACCCAGACGCATGGACACCTGGATGCATGGATGCATGGACACCTGGAAGCCTGGATGGACAGACAGCTGGGCACATGGACACCTGGACACCCAGACATGTGGACGCATGGACACCCGGACATCTGGATGCATTGACACCTGGACACCCAGATGCAGGGACGCACGGACACCTGGACGCACGGACACCTGGACGCACGGACACCTGGATGCATGGACACCTGGACGCCAGATGCCCAGACGCACAGACACCCGGACACCTGGACCCGGCGGAGCAAGCGCAGCGTGGCACCTATGGTGGCTGCAGGGGAGCTACAGGTGTCATGCAGGGGGGACAGGGGGGACCCCACTCACCCAGGAGGGGACCTTGTGTTTAAGTGGAGGCCTTGCAGTGTGGGGCCACCAGTACCTGAGGGCGGAGGCCACGACAGGTTTGGAGGCGGAACACGAGAGGAATACAGGGGGCTGCAGGAGCAGTGCGCTAGGCCTGCCGTAGGTCGCCCCCACCTGCCGTAGGTTGTCCCCCCCGCCACAGGTCACGCCGCAGGGGACAGCACCTGCCAAGGCAGCAAGGTGCAGGCGGAAAGCAGGGGGCACCGCAGGGAAGGCCGCGTGGGGACCCGAGCTGCGCGGGGCGGGGGGGCGGCTCCGGAACAGCCCCACGGGGAGCCCCCCACAGCTGGCGGGTGGCTGCCCGAGGAGGGGAAGGGGGTCGGGCTCAGGTGACCGGCCTGCGCCTCCAGGTCCACAGGCGCCGGCGGCGAGGTCCCTCCTGCAGGCCACTCGCGGGCAGGGCCCCACGGAGGGGACCGACTCCCTGGGGTGCAGATGGCCCGTCTGCGGGGCGGGGGGTGAGTGGGGGGCAAGGCTCGGGCGCACACAGGAGAAGGCAGGTGCACGGCCGGTGCCGGGGCCGGGCCGGGGGGAGCTGCAGGGAGGAGGGCGAGGAGCCATCTCTGACCTTTGTCCAGGCCGTGGCTGCAGTGACAGGCTTCGGGTGGCTTCGGGTCACGGTCACAGCCAAGGCGGCCACGCGGCACGCGAGGGGGCTCTCACGGGCTCTGGGGGCGCGTCTCCTGGAACGGAAGCCGCTCGGCTTTCAACACGAACGTTTCTGAAACAGGGTCACAGCTTATAAATTACCTCCGTCCTCGTCCTCAGAGAAGCTCTGATGAAGCAGATTGTGCTGCTTAAGGAATCGTCGGGGTTTCTCGGCGGGTCCCAGGCGAGGGGACTGACAGGGGTACGTGCAGGCCCCGGACGGAGCAGGGTCCTTAGGATGAGGAGCTGCGGGGCCGGGAGGGAGCCAACCGGGCACAGGGAGAAGTAAGGCCAGCGAGCCGCCAGGCCGGACGGCCCTCGAGGTGGGCAGGTCGCCGACAGGCTGCCTCTGGGCCGGGCCGCGACCTTGCACGGGGACGCTTTCTCCCGGAGAGGACCGTCCCCCGACCCCCCTGCCAGCGGCCCTTCATCCCTCACGGAGAACGTGGCCCGAGCCCGGCACGGTCACAAACGACACTCAGGAATGGAGGACACGCGGCATTTCATCACCGAATCACTCGATCCGACCGTGACCGTGAGACCGTAGACACAATCGCGCTCTGGCACGACCTATTTTAAAATCCATTTTAGTACAAGTGTAGGTCGTCGGCGATCCCGCCCTATTTGGGATGGAGTAAAGGAAGAGAATCACTTCTGAAAATCCAAAAAGACTCATGTAGGAGCAAAAAAAAAAAAAAAGACATTCACTAAAAGATTCCTAGGGGTTTACTGAAAAATTATTTGGCCATGAAAGAGCGAAACGGTGGCAAGTGCCAGCTTCCTGGGCACGCGGCCTGAAGGGCACATTTACCGCAGGGCCCGGGGGGCTCCGACCCTCGGCTTCTTCGCTAGCCGGTGCCCAGGGAGCATCAGCCCTAGGCCCGCGGGCGGCACGGAGCGCGGGGTGGGGGGCCTCTCGGTCAGCTTCCCCCTCCTGGAGGTCATCCGGGCTTGCAAGCAGGCTGCCACACTTCCTTCAGTCTGGACCCCAGCGGCCACCTGACCCAGCGGCCTCCCGACGGCTGCGGACCCAATGCCCGGGCCTCTACGTCCCCGCGCGTCCCAGTTCCCACTTGCTCCCCGCGGCTCTCACTGCAAGGCATGCCCACCGGGTAGGGAGGCGCAGACGTGGGTGGCCGCGTGTGGGGGCTCCGGCCTCTTGAAACCAGGGCACGTGAAACCCAAAAGGCGAATTTCCCCCGAAGCTTCCCTCTGAACAAGGCCGCCTGAGCAGGAAGCTGGGCAGCAATCAGAAACGCAGTGTCTCCCGTCCTGCCTTACCAAGGTGAACGAATGCTTCCCAAACCATCAACGATAAAAAATAAATAAATAAAATAATAATAAAAACATTAAATAAATAAATAAATAAACAAACAAATAAATAAAAACAAATAAATAAAAATTCCAACCCACTTTGCTATGGAAAAAAATTAATCTCTATTTGCTCTATAAAAAATACTAAAATCCGCGATCATGTAAAAGAGGGAATCTGAGGGCATGAAGACAAAGATTTGTAGGAGATGAAGCATGTAAAGAGGAGTCAGGAAGTTTATTTCCGATGATAATAATATTTAGTGATGTTCGTGGTATTTTTCAGTTCTTTTATTTTTTTCTTATCTTTTTTTTTTAACGATTTTATTTACTCATTCATGAGAAACACAGAGAGGAGAGAGAGAGAGGCAGAGACACAGGCAGAGGGAGAAGCAGGCTCCATGCAGGGAGCCCGACGTGGGACTCGATCCCAGGACTCCAGCATCACGCCCTGGGCTGAAGGCAGGTGCTAAGCCGCTGTGCCACCCGGGCTGCCCTTTTCAGTTCTTTTAATGTCTGTAATTTGTGACCGCTGTTCCCGCTGCACATAAATACCCCCCAAATATTCCAGTTGGCTAATTCTGTGTTCATACTTTAGCGCTCTTTCCCTTAAAGAGGGCCTGGACGCCGCAAACGCTTGTGGCCCTCCAGACCTGGATTCACTCTTACTTACGACGCGCTGGACGCTTCTTCCAAGCCCTCGGCTGGTTTAATCAGGTAAACGTAGGAGGTAGATGCTTTCATCAGACGAGAGAGTTGAGGGCAAAGACTTTAGGGAACTTTCCAAAAGTGACTCAGGGATGACAGGCCGGTGTCAAGATTTGAACACGTCTCACACTCGAGTTCATGTTCTTTTAACTCTGTGCTATACTGAAATAAACAAATTATAGCTTTGCTGCGCTTTGCTATGATATACAGCCTCTCATTTATCATTCACCAGTGACTAAGCCCCCCCTTTTTTAAAGATTTTATTTATTTATTCCTAGAGACACAGAGGGAGAAAGAGAGAGGCAGAGACACAGGCAGAAGGAGAAGCAGGCTCCATGCAAGGAGCCCGATGTGGGACTCGAACTCAGGTCTCCGGGATCAGGCGCTGGGCGGAAGGCGGCGCTAAATCCCTGAGCCACCCGGGCTGCCCAAAGCCCCTTTTTTAGTTAAGCAGATGTGCTGGGTGCTGGGTAATAGCAGGCTGATATTACATATTTCCTACCCCCACAAACCATAAAGACTACTAAGGAGACCCAAAATGCTGCAATAGAAAGCATAATACCTTTACAGAAAGGTATTAAAAAGCGCTACAAATAAATAAAGGAGAAATTATAATGAATTAAACATTCTCATCAGCCGAGTGCAGGAGTGTGAGCAATGGTGTATAAACATAGGAGAAGTCTTCCTTTCATTCATGGAATATGGACGAGCTAATGTTATCATGTTTTAAGATTTCGGCTCAAGATGGCAGATGTATTTGGGATTACAAATTTGTTGTTAAAATTTCTCTTTATGGAGGGAGGAAAAATGAATCTTTGTTTTTTTCAAGGATTTTATTTATTTATTCATGATAGAGAGAGAGAGAGAGAGAGAGAGAGAGAGAAAGGCAGAGACACAGGCAGAGGGAGAAGCAGGCTCCATGCAGGGAGCCCGACGTGGGACTCGATCCCGGGACCCCAGAATCACACCCAGTGCTGAAGGCAGATGCTCAACCGCTGAGCCAGCGGGGCTGCCCAAGACTTGATTTTTCAGGAGTGAGAATTTCTAGTTGATTTAATGCTGAGTCCACATATTAATTATTAGCTGGATAAGTACAAGATTGGATCATACTTGGTTCATACCCTATATGAAACTTTCCAGCCCCTCAGCACACATGTCCAATAGGAGCTGTCTTCGGGACTGTGGCCCTCTTCATTACTGTTGCTTCCTTAAGTGCCTCTTTTTAGAATTTGCTTTATCAAGTATTCATATTGTTTCTGTGTTTTGACCTGGCTACTGGAGCTCATCACTATTTAATCCGTCTACAAATCCACTCCCAGTATGACTGGGGTCTGTCCACCTGTAGGACTCTACCTAGGAGGCTGGCATCCATCTTGCCAGTTCAGATGAAAGGATGAACAACTAGAGGTCGTATCACCCCCACGGAACGGCCAGACCCGCCAAGGAACACAGAGGCCTAGACTCAAGGGACAGGAATGCTCGCTCATCATTCAAGGAACCTGTAGGACACGTAGTTAACCAGCACCAAGGAAATCTCTCACGTAGACAAAGATATATCTCAGCTTCCAAGTCTCTTGAGATGGAACAGAAGGACCAGATGGAGCAGCACCAGAGGTCAGTAAGTCGCACCTGCTAACATGACCCTCGGGGCCTCCGATCAGCAATGTCCACCTTCCCAGGAGACACCTGCCCCAAATTTTGCCCTTAAAAACCTTCACTCCCAAGGCATCAGAGAACTTGGTTCTTTTACGTATCAGAGCTCCCCATTTTCCTGGGTGGTGACGCACCAATAAAACAGTCTATCTTCATTCACTGCAAGAGCTCCAGGGTCAGGTTTTTTTTTTTTTTTTTTTTCAGGGTCAGTTTTTATTGGCTTGCTGTGCACTGAGTGGATGAACTCTCCTTTGACGCAGTTATAGAAGTCTGGTGGGTAAAAATCTGTAACTTGATAACATTAATTTTATTTGTGGAATTCAATTATCAATATTTTCCAAGGTTAGACTCGGTAAAGAAAATTCAGAGTCAATCACCAGTAAGTAAAGTTTTCCCAGTGTTCACATTTTCTCTCAACAAATACGGATCTTAATTTAAGAAGAGGGAGAACCAAGCTGGATATTAAGGTATTAATAATTCATATGGGAGGCTACTAGTCAAACTTGCCTTTATTGTTAACTCTGAACAAACATTCAGGAAAAAAAAAATACCCGCAGTTGAGCAAAAACTATTTTTGAAGGAAGAAAGGTACAAAGCCTTGCAAATTAATGTCCCTAGTAGAGTACAGGCATTCAAATGCTATATCTGATGTTGACTCTTCACCAAAAATTTTGAGTAATTGTCTAGCAAAATCACTTCTCGGCAGAAAGCACTTCGACATGAGCTATAAGTCTACGAATTAAATTGAAATCCACAGTCTGTATGGTGCCAAAGGAAAATAATGACTCTTGCCCTCAGGAACAACAAAATGGGTCACTGAGAGTCTGGGAGTCACGCACAACAAATGGAGAGAACAAGCTTTCGGTACTAACAACCCCTTATCAAGACAATTAATGACTTAACTCGAGCACCCAACGAGATTCTGTGGGTTATTATCTGAAAAGGAAGAAGCCTCTCTAATAGGGTAGAAAGGCCATGCAGAGTAATTGCCTCAGGAAAAAAAAATGTTTTCTCCCTTTCCAGTAGAAATATAGGAAACATAAATTATATGGCAATGAGAAATACGTTAAGAATCCTGTTATTTCACTTTGATTCCCTTGGGCACCCATTATCACTCCCGAACTGAATATTTACATAAAATAAACACCATTAGCAGAAAAGAAGATGACAGAAAATTCTTTTCCCACTTGGGGCGTTTCAACATCGGGGCTCCCAGGGGCTACTGAAACACAAGGAAACAGCCTTCCTGGACGGCCGCGTATCTATCTATCTATCTATCTATCTATCTATTTATTTATTTATTTTTAACGGGAGAAGTGAGGAATCATCTGGATAGCTTAGACTCCCTTTTGGCTGCTGAGCAACCTGTTTCCAGGCCAGGCAAGAGATTACTGTGACTTC